GGGGGGGGGTATAAAGAACGAACAAACGAGATAGAGAACGCGGTAATCGCAGGTTGTAAATATTGACGCTAAAGGGCAACTACTAAAATCGACGAGAGAGTTTCGCCGTCGGAATTACGACAAGTAATAAGCTGTTGTACCGATATTATCCATTAAAAGCCATAGATTTTAACTGCATAGAACCGGGAAACGCGCGGCGCGATATTACTGCTCGCGCATCCCCTCCCCCACCCCCCCGGAATTGATGGGTATTAACGCTAAAGTTATTTTCGACCCAAAAATTGGCGTCGTAAAAAGTTAATGAGCGTCGGGCTGCATTATTTGCAACGCGGGAGAATAATGGCGCGCATAATTAAACGTGCAAACAGCGAACGAAACCCTGGAAAATCAATTTGGTGAAAGCACCGACTTGTAAATGCCACCGATAATCTCCGTGCTTTTGTGTGTTTGTGCGCGCGCGCGCGCGTGTGTGTGTGTGTTGGACGATCTAACAAAATATATTTGTACCACACAACCATCGATAGAAATATGTTTCAATCAACAGACAATCTACCAGGCCAAATGAAGTTAAGGAGAAAGCGATATTCGTTTCAGCACACACTGGCATATTACTTGTTTGCAAATTATAAACATTCGCTCTATATTATCGTTACTAATCACAATGTTACAGAAACGAGAACAGAACTGCCGTAAACTACTGATCGAGTCTACCTCTACGTAATAGAAAGTTTATAGTAAATTGGAAAGGAGATATATACAACATATACACAGTAAGCACAAGAAAATGTTAATTTTAATATTTTTTGCGTGTCCCAGATCCACTCTAAATTTTAAGTTAAAATAACTCGTTCGGTGTGAGTCACTTAGTGACAAACTAGTAAAGTTAAATAACTGACACAATACTTCACAGTTATATTTGTTATTTACTGTAAGCTTGATGTAAAAATAATATATAAAAAAATTAAAAACTACACAAAACAGTACTTGAAGCAACTCGTAAGAAATGTTAATAAAACATTTTTTAGTTCGTACAATGTGACCAAAGATTTTTTTAACTTTTTTTTAGTATGTCAAATTGACTTTGAGACAAATTTCTAAATTAATTGAAATCATTGTGTTGAAAACATTTAAACAATATTCCAATTTTTTAATGACATGCAAAAAATGTTAATTTGTGAAGTTATGACATAAATTTGACATAAACTTAAGTTCAACATAAATTTAACACGCGTGAAAAGGTTAAAAAAATAATAACATATTAGTATTATGTTAATTTTACATTGAAGTAATAATTAAAACGTCGTAAAACGCAAGAAAAGTTCTACATTTTGACGCACGATTTTTTACTGTGTGTATATGTATGTATATATGTAACGATTTTTGTCATATATTCTTCGTATAAATCGTGAAAGAGAGAGAAGATAATAACGAGAAGAAATTACGGGGAGAGCGATTCGATCCCCCGGACGTTTGCCATCTGTGCGATATGTAATTTGACGAAACGTCAGTCACTCGCGCGAATGATCCTTGAACCACAGAAGAACTTCCTGCGCGCTTCGCGAGTTATTCGCAGTCATTGTTCTCACCCACCCAGTATGTCAGATACATAATCGACACAGTCTAAATTCGACGCTTCTTAAAACGGAAACGAGGTATAGCGAACGATATTTCTGAGTCATATAAAGTTTTCATCGAGACGTGATGCGCGTTGAGAAAAGTTCCGCTCGAACGTTCGCGTATATAAAAATATACGCGACTACTACCGTGTATATATAAAAATGCTCTCCGACAAAATGAACGACCGCGAGTTAAAATGCATCGTAATCTCCGTCATGTTCGTTTGCCTCTCTTTATTTCCGTCACCGTTTCTGCTTTTCCCCCGCGTTTCAAAAGCGGGGGCAATTAAAGAGAAGAGCTCGCGTGCGCGCGCGTGCGAAGGAAAGAAACGGGAAACTACTACCGCGCAATATTGCGCGTAATGTCCGCGACTGTAAAAAACTTGGTTAGTTTGAAACAAAAAAAAAAAAACGACAACGGACGGGAGAGAATCGCGCGGCACTCTGGTAAAATAATATTGTTGTTGCTTTTAGGAAGCGTCCTCGTGCGACGATGATTAATGGCCGGCCCGCGACAATGGGTAGACGTCGGCAGATACGCGTGAAACCACGGCGTATAACACGTGAATGTGCAACGGCACGCGCGCGCACACACACGCCATTGTTAGGAAAATGGACTTGAATGGTGTGTTAAACAAATTTCACTCGCGAACGAAATATCCGACACGGATGAAAAGTTGCGTCGCGCAAGATTCTATACCGGGCGACAAATGTGATTTATCCCGCGTACGATAAGCTCGTGTACGTCGTAATATGGAGAATCTCTACCGGGGTATTACCTCCGTGTGCGCGGCAAGCAACGCTTTTGAAGTTTGTGTATGTGTGTGTGTGTGTGTGGAAAAAAGAGATATTTGAGAAAAACCACTCGCGTAAATTCTAAATATTCAGCGTCATCGCGCGAAAAAAAGAAGTGCCTCTCCGCTGCGAACATCTCGTGGCGGTGAATCCGAGAGAGAGAATGTATCTGATTTCAAGTTCTTTTCCGGAGATCTGTAACTGCGCATCACATGATACTGCATTGTATATATTAACGTATGTGCGTACTGTTGCGCGCAAGTATTGTTTTTTTTTTTTGCTTTTTTTTTTAAATATAATTTTTTTTCACGAGCTCGTCGAATTAAGAATTTACGGCGTTCTCTACTTGTGCGGAGAGGGGAGGGTGCGGGCTGTTTGAAAAGTTCTTCGCGAATTATTACAGAGAACACGAGAATTTATACGGGACCGCTCGCACATGACGGAAAGCCGTGTAATTAAAATTCGCGTCATCCTCGTCGGAATCCTGAATTCTACTTCGTGCCAGAAGACCTATGTGTATGTAAAAAGTTTGACAAAAGCAAATGGGTGTCGCTTTTGTAGTCGTATTACAACCGTAATGCAATATTACTGGAACCCAAACTTTTCGCAAAATACTGCGTGCTGCAGCTTCGTAAACCATTTTGTTCGGGTGTTTTTTTTTTTTTTTTTTTTTTAACACTGTCGGAGCATGTAACGCCAAGCAATTCAACTAATTTCGCAGCTTCCTCAATTTTTCTTTTTTTTTTTTTATCTCAGACAATGTTTTTCTCTTTCTGAGTTTCGTTTTTTTTTTTTTTTNTCTCAGACAATGTTTTTCTCTTTCTGAGTTTCGTTTTTTTTTTTTTTTTCGATAACAATAATCGCGCAGACGATCATCCGATTATCGTTACGTTAATGAGTCGCCGAGAAATCGCGATTAATCAATATTACGTCGCGCGTAACGAGATATAACGAGCGAGCGCGAGACATTACGTAAGACGCCCGTGCTGCGTCGTAATAATATTTTGGACAACATAGAAAAAAAAAAAAAAAACAAAGAAGAGAATCCGATCTCCGTAGATCGAGAGACACGGCCGCTCGCGTCCAAGAAACATCGTCAAGGAGCACCGGGTGTACAGGGCAGAGCGGGGATAACGCAAATTAAGACATAATTGCGCCATAGTAGGTAAACGAAGAATAAGATTAAATAGAAAAATGAAGGATGCCGGGCAACAGACTGACCTTGAGCACGGACGACGGTGAGCAGGCCGGCGAGGAGAACGATCGGATGGCACCGCATCATTTTTTTTCACCTTCCTTCCCACCTCGAGGCTACCACCACCACCCGGCCGTCCTCCAGCTCGTCTTCTCTTCACTTTTCTGCGTCTCTTGCTGCACGCGTGCGGGTTCGGCTTTCCTCACGCAACCAAAAACGACAACACCACTATGCTATTACGCTTCTTCTCTCCTTGCGTTTTTTCTTTTCCTGCCGCGCGCTCTCTCCCTTTTTTTTTTCGCGCGATCGCGATTCTCCCGGTTCACGTGCCGACGTCCTTCCTCGCGCGCTGGCGTGTCGATATCACTCGATGGTATTTCCTTCGAACCGCTCGCGACTCGATCGCCGTTTAACGTCACGAAAGATCCTACGTTCGTACGCACTCATATCACTCCTATCCAATCCTCCTCCCTCTCTCTGGTCCGCGAGGAATCGACCGATCCTCTTTTTTTTTTTTTTTTTGCCGTTGAAATGTGCCTCGTTATATATGAATCACGTCACCTTCACACTGATGACCGTCCAGGGACTTCTGCCCGACGATTCCGCCGCTTCTTTTTCTCCGTTCTGGAAATCGAGAGAAGGAGATTGTTCGAATTTTCGCGGAATCAATGGGACGTGTATTTTATTCGCGGAGTAGCGGTCTCGGGATCTCGAGAGTCGTTTTTCTTTGCGGTCGAATTGTTCTGTTTTCTCTGTGAGCGGGGATTCGCGCTCCGATTCTTCGTAGAGGATTTTCTCGAAACGCGCGGAATGTTTAAAGCGGCGAAGCGAACGGAATCAGCGCGGGCGGAGAGATATCACACCGAAGATGAGGAAGCGCTTGCGGATGGATCAGAACAAAACTCGATGAAAACGAAGAGGGAAGGGGAGGGGGGGGGGAAACTTCAGGGGGCAGCGCGAGATCAGAACCGCGAGTTGTTCAAAGTTTTGGAGGAGCGCTTTTCATGGTTGATGGGAGAAATAAAGAGTCAACACGCGCGCATAGAGTCTGAGTCGACCTTCTTCTCCTTCACGTTGAACGTGATGATGTTGCTCACGACATCCGGGAAGCGAGCTGAATACGCCTCTAATGATCAACCACGCGAGTTCTATAATACACATAGCCGCTCGATCCTCCTTTCGCCTCCGAGCGCTTTTCTTGCCTTCTTCCGCGCGCGACGCGAATTGCTCGTTCCGTCGCGTGTGACGGTTATGAAAGGAGACGCGTGCGCGTCACGGATAAAATCTGAATCGACTCTCGGTAGCGTAGCTTTATATCGTCGTCGATGATCGATGAACTCTCTCGGAGCGCATAAGCGCGCACGTCAGGTGGTGGCTTCCTGTCAGAAACGCAACGCGACGCTCTGTTGCGGCAAACCTCGCGATCCACCCCGGACTCGGATAACACTTTTGCGAGGTTTCCGAAGCTTCTCCGGATCGTCTGGACGGCCGTAACTTCCCGGACGGCCGTCTTCGCCCGAAACCCTCGGCGCATTCCTGCCGTCTCTCTTCTTCCGTTCTCTCTTTCTCTCTCTCTCTCTCTCTTTCTCTCTCCACTTTCAACGGCACTCAACTCCGGCTCCGCAACGAGACGTAATTGAATAAAACCGCTAAGTGATTAATTGCCGGAGCCTCCACGGCGTTCTTCCATACCCGCCCGGCCAACTTCCTACTCAAGTTTAAAAGATCCCGGAGCTCGGGCAACTTTAAAGGATCTATGAACGGAGCAAGAGCCTCCCTCTCCTTCTCCAGCTGGCCCCGTCGTAATTCCCGTAACTCCCGGCGTCTTCTTCGATACCTGAACTCCGAACATTCCCGTGACCCGCGTAGATCTTAAGATTTTTTTTTTTTTTTTTTTTTTTTA